TTTCACAGATGAAGAAACTAAGTCCCAGAAGGAGATGAGAACAAATGTAGAACTTGATCTATTGCAGCATTTCACAACAAACAAACAAACAAACAAACAACACAACCATTCACAAGATAGTCACTGGGGTTTTATTGTCACAGACCTGAGAAGCAATGGGTTGCCACCAAACTCAAAGGCTTACCTCTTCAGTGCCCTGTCCACTGAATTTGTCAAGAGAAAAGAAAATCACAGTGACCTGAGAAGAGAGACTGTCCAGTCCAGGCAGTAGGAGGAAGGCTTTGGGTGTGAGCTGGATGACTTATGGGGTCTATCCTCCAGCCTCAGGGAGCTGGAAGAGATAGGCAGACTGGCTGATAAGGCTAAACCAGAGCCTGCCAAGTAATGCCTTCAAAATGCAGCTGCAGAGATAATGGATTTAGAGTGGGAGAAAAACAAAACATCTATCAACCAAAGCAAATCAAAGCTGTATCTATCCAGTGACAATCCTTCTGAAGGCAAGTCAAAGCTTAAAAACCAGGAGGCCATTCTCACACCAAGGCTGGGGTTGCGTTTTATAACTCTCGACAGCAGTGTCCTCAACCTTCGCGAGGCTGTGGCTCTTTGTACAGTTCCTCATGTTGTGGTGACCCCCAACCACAAAATTATTTTCATTGCCTGGTGTGATGGCACAGGCCTTTAATCACTGCACTTGGGAGGCAGAGTCAGGTGGATCTCTCTGAGTTCCAGGCCAGCTTGGTCTACAGAGCAAGGCCAGGACAGCCAAAGCTACACAGAGAAACCCTGTTTTGAAAAACAAAAAAAAAAACAAAAAAAAAAACAAAAAATTATTTTGTTACTACTTCATAACTGTAATTTTGCTACTGTTACAAATTGTAAGTTAAATGTATGATGTGCAGGATATCTGATAGGCGACCACTGTGAAAAGATTGTTCAGTCCACACAACCCCCAAAGGGATCAAGACCCATAGGCTGAGAACCTCTGCTCCACACTAAAGCATCTTATTCTTTCCTTCAAGCCTTGAAGCCGATGGCTTGGCTTCCTACCAGGAAGACCAAGTGACTGGTTTTGGGTCCCAATCAGTGGTTTCCTAAATAAGAACCGAGAGGAACAAGCCAAGCGTGGGTTCCTTGATGAAAATAAACAGGAAGGGGGCAGCGTACTGGGAGCCGCCAGGATTATGCAAGCTGCACATCTGGTCCTATACATTCTTTGGAAGGCTGAAGAGCAAGTCTTTAAAAAAGAAAAAAAATCTCAATCTGTTTTCCTAGTGACTCCTTCTGAGGCTTTGAATAAAATTAAAGCTGATATTTTCTTTAGGGTAGCTGGCTGCTTAGCTGGATTGCAAGCCCCTTCGACTCAGCAGATCTGAAAATAGGAAGTTGAATTCATCATCTCCCTGAAAGCACATTTATCCTCCGCCAGGCCTGGTCTGTGGTGCTGTTCCTTCAGGCTGTTCTTCCCAGGGGCCACTGAGTTCGACCACTGAGTTTGCAGCCTAAACAGCTGTCAAACCCCTCTCCCCCATTTCCATCTAGATTGCTAAGGAATAGCTATGAATTCTCCAGGCCCCCATTCCTGAACCCTAGACTGCCTGCTCTTTGTCCCACCCAGACCTCAGCAGCCTGCATGACTTAGAGCAACAAGCCACCCACCACACTCCTCTTGTCCCCAGCAGCGAAAAGCTGAGAATCCAGCAGGGAGCACAGAGCGCTGTCAAGGACCAGGAGGAGGGATGCAAGCCACAGACAGAATCTCTCCATGAATGTGCGTCTATTTTCATCACTACACTGTGTGTGTGTGTGTGTATAAATCTATAGTTCTAGTTTGCCGTGTTAACCATTTTTAATTGTACTATACATCTTGGCAAGTTGAGTGTTCCTTCAATCCCAGGTACTTGGGAGACTGAGGAGGATAGCATGAGTCCAGAAGGGTGGGGCTAGGAAGATATACATTTTTTTTTTTTTAAAAGACAGAGTCCCATGTAGCCCAGACTGGCCTTGAACTTGCTATGTGTCTAATGATGACCTTGAACTTCTGATCCTTCTATCTATACCTACTGAGTGCTGGGATTACAGGTGTGAACTCCATGCTCAATTTTATTTGGTGTTGGGGCACAAACCTAGGGCTTTGTGCATGCTAGACAGGCGCGCTACCAACTGAGCTACGTTCTCCAGCCCCGAGACTTCACACACAGAAGAGATGACTGTACAGTTTGGTGGTATCAGACACATCGTCAGCACCACCATTCTTATCTCCAGAACCTTCTCACCTTGCAAGCTGAAACTGCGCCTCTTAAATGCTAACTCTATTTATCTTCCTTCAGTCAGACCAGCCCCGCCCTACTCCCCAAAGGCACCATTTCATTCCCTGCCTCTGAGCATTTGGCCACTTGAACCACCTAAAAGCATGGTCTTCAAGTTCAATGTGAGAATTTTCACCCTCTCAGGGGAGGAGGATCGAGGCGACATCTATCTACTCTGTTCCTCATTAAGAACCAAAACAAAGTTCAGTTCCACCCGAGGTCACCCTGGGGAAGCAGTGAGTTGATTAGGGTTATTTACAGAACATGGTGAGGGCCTGTGGACAGGAGTGTGGGCGACCTTAGAGCAGCCCCTAGGGAAGGTCTGCACGAAGCATGGATGACGAAGCCCCCATGGCTGGGTAGCTGGAGCCCCTTCTCCACCTATACACTCTACCTGCTCCCTGAGACCCCCAAGGCCGTGTGCGTGTAGGCCAGAATTGCACAGAACTGCTTGGGAGAGCCCCACAACTCTCTCCTGTCAACAAGCCCAGCTGGGGTGATCTTTTGGAAGCAGATCCAGCCAAACTCCTGAAGATGGCAGCAGTGTAGCCCAGAGGATAGTCTGTACAGCAAAGCTTCTTTGTATCGTAGCATGAGTCAGGATGCCATTCCTTTTGAAGGCTGAATAATATTTTATAAACACGTGCATACAATTTGCCCAATCATCCTTCTTCAACAGTTAGGTTGTCCTCATTTTTTGCTGGGAGGGACAATTTTGGTATGAACATCAGTTTAAAAATATGAGTCTCCGTCTTTCAGTTCTCTGGAGGTAATGTACTCAGAAGCGATCCTGCCGGGCCAGCTGGGATGCCTGTCCTTTCACTTCGTGTCTCTTCAGCTACACTGTGAACTCTTAAGAGACAAAGAGTGAGTCTTGACACAAATATTTGTTGGCTAACTGTCATTAGCTCAGTGGAAAGGATTCCATAAGAGACAGAAAGTTGAGATAAGGGCTGGGGAGAATAAAAGAACTCCAGGCCCTCATGAGGTCTGGCTTTTGATAAGCTTACGAAGCTATATTAAGATCTTGAGAAAGGGGCTGGAGGGATGGCTCAGAGGTTAAGAGCACTGGCTGTTCTTCCAAATGTCCTGAGTTCAATTCCCAGCAACCACATGGTGACTCACAACCATCTATAATGAGATCTGGTGCCTTCTTCTGGCATGCAGGCACACATGCAGACAGGATACTGTATAAATAATACATAAATAAATCTTTAAAAAAAAAGATCTTGAGAAAGGAAAGGCGGGATAAAGGATGGAAGATTCCACATGCAGGCTCCAGCCCTCCAAGCCCCGCCTATGCTCAAGTTCACAGGCGTGGAGGGGCCAACTGAAGGGAAACATAGGGTGTTTAACCGGAGCAGAGTTTCAGCTTTTACCACATCAACTGGAAGGTTAATCATTATCTAGGCATGACCAAGAGAGAGAAAAAAATGCTGCTAATGAAACGATGCGTACCGTGGACTGGAAGATACATCTTTACTTCTAAGATGTTAAAATATTTTTGTTGTCGTACTTTTGTTTTTGCTGTTGTTGTTTTGATTTTTTTTTTTTTTTTTTTTTTGAGACAGGATTTCTCTGTGTAGACTTGGCTGTCCTGGAACTTTCTCTGTCGACCAGGCTGGCCTTGAACTCACAGAGATCTGCCTGCCTCTGCCCCCTGAGTGTGGGCATTAAGGCATGTGCCACCACTGCCAGGCTTAAAACGTTTTTAATGGCTCTCTTGAAGGGAGTCTTGCTAATACATTCTACAACATGGGTGAATCTTAAAAACAATTGTGCTAAGTGAAAGAAGCCAGCCACTACTGGTCAAACATATGTGATTCCATTTATATGAACTATCCTAAATACATAAATCTATGGACGGTAGTTTAGTGGTTACTCAGATGGGAATATTGAAGATTAGTGAATGCGAGTTAACAAGTACAGGGTTGCCTTGTAGGGAGATACAAATAGTCTAGAATCGATTGTGTGTGTGCGGGGGGGGGTTGATTTTACAACTCTGTGGTGATACTAAAAGCCATTAAATGTTTTACTTAAAATGGGAGGGGGTCGTCTATGTCTTGATCTAATTGTAACAAAAAAAAATGGTGGCTGTTAGGTTGCAGAAAATATAAGAATAGCACAATGGCAGTGCAGGAGGTTAAAAGAGAGATTGAGTCTGTTAGAGAAGGATCTAGAATGTTTTTGGAGTGAAAGCTATGGGCCTAGGGGGGAAAATGGCTGCAGAGATAAACAGGCACGGGCGTGGGAAAGGCACTCAGTCTACGGAGGCAGCCGCTTATGCAAAGGCTGGGGAGGTGGACGGTCTAACTGAAGCACAGTGGAAGCTATAGAAAGCAGCAGGGTAGGAGCAAAGTGCTAAAAGGCGGGCCAGCACATGGAGGTGGGCTGCCGGAATGCGGTTCTTTGAACGCGGAATGGGAAACCTTGCAAGTTCTCCCAAATGCCCATCTTAGAAACTCTGCCAACTCCGCCCACAGTGGAGGCCTTACCAAGGCACCTTCTAGCTCCAGGGCTCCGCAGCCGACCTGACTGCCGCTAAAATCCCCTGTGGAACTTAAAGCCAGATGACCAAAAGGTTACAAGAGCAAAGGGCACTGACCCCGGAAACACTGTATTTAACCAGAGGCTGGGAAGAGCTGGCGTTTCTGACAGGAAGCCAAGAAATTCCAGAAGCCCCATCTGCAGGGCCAGGAAGCAGACAGAAAGAACTCAGCACCAAGCCACACCGGAAGAGCCGGTCGCCCTGCTGCTCCAGGGGAATTGAAAACCGACAGGAAAATACCACAAGGAGGAAAACTGCCTGCCCAGGGAGTGGAGATGTGCCAGGGAAGGGTAACGTCCCAGGAGAGGAGCCCGCCAAACCAAACAGCGGCTCAGAATCCTGTAAGTTCACCTGAAATCCTTGCACGTGGAGGCTGAGGCAGGAGAGTCGGGAGTTCTAAGCCAGCCCGGGCTGCAGAGAGATCAACTTAAAGCTTGTCTAGACAGCGTGATGGATGAAAGATAAATCCTACGGCTCGTTAGCTAAACACCAAGTCTGCCTGTTGTGAAGCAAGCAGCCTGAGGCTGGACCATGAAATGTGAGGGAAAGGGAACAGGAGAGGGAGATGGGGAGAAGTGGGAGTGAGGGTGGGGGGATGGGCAGAGGACAGGACACACAAAGTAGGCCCAGCTCAGATTTCACAGACCTACCTGCCCATAGCAGTCCAGCCCTCGGGACCTGGGCTGTGAGTAGTTACTGTGGACAATTCATGGATCCTGATTCTAGGAAGAGGATTCTGGGTGGCTCAGCTGAGGAGGAGTCAGGCAGGGGGATAGTCGAGGGCTGCACCCCAGCCATATGCCACCAACTGGGCTTATCTGTCTTTAGTCAAGGGGCCTCTACACTAATAAACTGAGACGAAAATGTTGCTGGTGCTACCCACGCCCGCCGCCGTGGGCTCCTCTGCCTTTTGATCATTTACTCATTCGAGTAAAATGAGCAGGATAATCCACTGTCATCATTTCTAAAAGCTCTGACCGGCTCCCTAAATGTACAGAGAACGAACCGTGAACACCCGTGCTCAGGCCTGGACACTCATTTTCAGTAACAGTGGTTGTGCCACACAAGGCAGGGCATGGTGGCAAGGAGTAAATAAATAAACAAACCCTGAGCCTTGTAGGTAAAACCAGCCAGGTGATGGTGGCGCTCGCCTTTAATGCCAGCCCTTGGGAAGCAGAGGCAGGCGGAGGTCAAAGCCAGCCTGATCTACAAAGTGAGTTCCAGGACAGCCAAGGCTACATAGAGGAACTCCAGCTCTGGGGGGAAAAAGCCAATCAAAGCATTTTCATCTGGATGTGAACCCATTCCGTGCTATGAAAGCTTGGCAGCCCTCAGCCTCCCGCTGTGCCTGTTAGCTGGAGATGCCTTGCTGCCAGATGCCATGCTGTGTCTGGCTTCTCCCAAGCAAAACTAGAAACCCCGTCCATCTGATTTCTGCCTCTCTCCTCTTAAAGAGCGGTCCAGCAAGAGCCTGGGTGATAGCAGGGGTCAGGGTCTTCTGCTTTCTTCCTCACTGCCAGAAGAGGCTGTACCTTGCCTCCTTCCTGGACTCTCAGCTCTGCTCTTCTCAACCCAGGGGCTGGAACCCCCTGGGCTCCAGCCCAAGCCATAAGGGTAAGGCAGGCTAGTGCAAAGAGTCTTAGGCTGGAAGGGATCTAGGATTTTAAGTAATATGAAAATGCGAAGCAGAGCTGGCCATAGGCCGGAGATAGAAAGGACAATGATTTTTCTTCCTCAGGGATTCCAATTCTGCAGGACCAGTTCAGAAGCCTGGATGCTAGAAAGCATCCTGGGCCACTCTTGAGAAGCTCTGAGAGAGTGTCAGCGCTCTAGGAACGCAGCCACCCTCCCCACCACAGAGGGCACCCTCACTCACCTCCACTGTGTATGCTGCCCAAAGCTACCACGTGCCCATAGTTCAAAGTGATATGCCAATACTGCTCCCTTCTTCCCACACAACCCGAGGCAATCTTTCTCTCATGTCACTGTGTCCCAGTCTGGTCTCAAACTCTCAGTCCTCCTGGCTCAGCCTCCTGAGAGCCACCACAAACAGCTCCTTCTCTTTTTAAAATCACAGAGCATTTGCTGGACCGTTTGCCCTGGCCCTATATCTCCACCCATCAAAACCCTTCCTCCCCTTCAGGGCTCACAGGCTGTGCGCACCACAAAGCCTTCTCTCTGTTTTTAGAAAACGGGGACTCCTCCGTCCTCCGAACTCTGATAAGTGTCATCTCTACATCATCCCGTTAGACTTCGTATACTTCAGGCCGAGGTTATTTGAATGCGTATGTGTTCCCTTAGAGTGGGCTCCTGGGCGGCAGAGCCATGCCACCACCTTTGGTCATCCATGTTATAACCGGAGCTAACCCACTATCCTCCCTGCAGGACTCGGAGGTGCGAGAAATCAAGGTGCCTCTCCGGTGATTTCCACGTGGACTTCGCATACCTTCTTCTGGCAGCAATGTCATTGTTCAGGGTTCACTCTCAGCCCATACACAAAAGCCAGATCTCGGAAACAGCAGCCACCACGCGGCAGGCGATACTTATAAATGAAGAGCAGTAAGCTCATGGCGCTAGTGACACGGAACCCTTAGATCCATCTATACCAGAAATGTCACCCACTCTGCATCCCATTGCCCATCCCAAATAGTCAAAAGAATGCTGCCCCGTGACCCGCCTGACATTTCAACTAACTGTGACACAAGTGAGCGCCATAAAAGAGTTAGAAGAATTAGACAGTGCTACAGACTTGCATGGTGGACAAGCTGGTATTCCTAAGAAGTCAGGACTAGAACACCACAGAATTTTAGTAAACAAAAATGTCACAAATTCTACAGCGTCCCTGAATGGTGGCCTGATAAGTAAACAGAGAGGCCACCAAAGCATGATGCTCAGAAGTTGGCGCTGTCCACCTGAGCTCAGGTAAGAATAAGCTCTCTGGGTTCTGAGTCATCAATTTCCAGCAGATATCTACCTGCTGCAGTTCATATGCCAGCCATAGCCATGCCTTTCCTAGTTCAAGGCCAACAAGTCCCTGTTACCGTTTCCCCTTAAAGTTGCATCTAAGGAGAAATACATTTCTTCCATCAATCTCAGAGTGGCATGAAAGTTCATTCTCGTTGCAAACAAATAATGTGCTCCTCTGATTTTATACACCAGGTCATAATTTGGGCTAGTTTGAGCTTTTCTCCTCGTGGCATAAGGATAAAATCAGATAGGTCAGATCCCAGCTAATGCCAGGTTCGTACTGTGAGCCCTTCATGCTGCGGTGGCTATAATCTATTTTTAACTCTGCATTTATAATATAATACTGCATGTATGTTTGTTTGATCGAGCCAAACCCGTAACTGTTATCAAAAATGTACAGGCAAAGGCAGGACGGCCAGCATCCTATCACAAGGCCCTGATCTCGAGACAGACTCTCCCTCACCATACGTCAGCCAAGAGCTTCAGGGGATCATCGGTGGGAATCCAGGATGCTTTAATGATTGAGCTTAGAAATGTGTCTTCATTGGTGAATCAGGAGGTTTCAGGGTGGGGGGGGAGGATAGTGTAGTGTGTAACATGCTGGCCCCCAAGACTTAAGTTTGAGCCCCAGAATTCATGGGAAAAAACAAGGTATAGTGTCACATGATTGTCATCCCAGACCTGGGTAGGCAGAAACAGGTGGACCTCTGGCCAGCAAGCCTAGCTTATTTGGCAAGCTCCAGAGCAGTGAGAGACCCGTCTCAGAAGATACAATGAGGCTGGGCAGGGGGGGGTGTGCATGCCTTTTTAAAAAGGCTTATTTTTTTTATTTTATGTGCATTGGGTGTTTTACCTGCATATATGTCTGTGTGAGGGTGTCAGATCTCCTGGCACTGGAGTGAAAATCTGTTGTGAGCCACCATGTGGGTGCTGGGAATTGAACCCAGGTCCTCTAGAAGAACAGCCAGTGCTCTTAACCACTGTGCTATCTCTCCAGGTGGCACAAGCTTTTAATACAAGCACTAAGAAGGCAGAGGCTGGCATATTTCTGAGTTTGAGGCTGGCCTGGTCTACAGAGTGAGGTTCAGGACAGCCAGAGCTACATAGAGAAACTCTGTCTCAAACAAAACAAAACAAAACATAAACGGGTTGGAAAGATGGCTCTGCCTTTAAGAGAACTAGCTTCTCTTCCAGGGGTCCTGAGTTCAATTCCCAGCAGCCAAATGGTGGCTCTCAACCATTTATACAGGGATCTGATGCCTCTTCTGGCATGTAGGTGTACATACAGATAGAGTACTCATCTACATTAAACAAACAAATCTTTAAAAACAACCCCCCCCCAAAAAAAAAAAAAAACCAACCAGCAGCTGAGGAACAACACCTAGGATTAATTTTTGCCTTATACACAGGTTAAACACACACACACACACACACACACACACACATTGACTGCTGTGTGTGGCTGCCCGGGCCCCTCCTCTGCCGGATTGCCGGGAACCCATCTGGAAAGCAAACACTGCCAAGCTTTCTGAAGGGCATCGCAGAGGAAGCAGATGTTCCAGTTGAGTCCTGGTTCATGTCCTTTCCTGGTGGAGCCCCTCTTGGCTCACGTCTCTGCCTGGTGCTTGCTGGGGAACCAAGTTTCAACAGAGCAGCAACCTCTGGCTCTACACGGCAGCTGTGGGACGCCTTCGGCAGAATCTGGAGGCTTTCAGGTAGAATGGGATTGAACGCTCCAAAACATGCAGCTTTTCAGCCCTTAGGATGAGAAAACCCCACCCTAGCTGCTTGCAGAGAGCAGAAGATGAGCTGCATTCTGCTCTGCCTGCTGGTCCAGGAAGCTGCTAGCCATGGGGGCAGCAGACTGCACCTCGCTGCTCACACACAACTTTTTCAGCATGCCCTGAGGCCAACCCTTAACTCTTAGGGATAGAAACTGTGTCGGGAGTTGGGGTAGGGGCAGGCAGATGATGGTCATGGCAAAAAAGAATGGACTTCATGATGGGGTGTCTTTTTTAAAGTCAAGACATTTCATGGTCAATTTTAAGCATATTCCCAAAAGACATTTGAAGTGTGTTTATAGCTACATCTGTTAACTGCCTAATAACTGACCCAGAAAAACTCTAGCAGTACCTAAAAATTTCAACATTTTCATAATTATGGCAATTCTCAATTGGGGGGGAGCACATAAGATAGAAGACACGATTAAAAAAAAAAACTAACCTGTAGCTGTTTTTAAAAGGTACAAATCTTAAAAAGAAATGGAACACCTCACGAATTTGCATGACATCCTTGCTCACGGTCCATGCTAGTCATGGTATCATTCAAATTTTAGTGTGTGTCTTACTGTGGACTCAACAGACTACGGCTTAAGAAACCTGACGGGCTCCACACACTTGGCAAAGCAGGAGTTAGTCCTGTCTGATTTGTCTCTGTCTTGTATTTTTTTTTCTTCTTTTAACTTCATTTTTTTATTATTATTATTTAAAAAATCAAGAGAGGCTCTCACAGAACCCAGATTTGCCTCAAACTTCCTATGTACCCAGGAGTGACCTTGAGCTTTTGATCAGCCTGTCTCCCCCTCCCAAGTGCTGGGATTACAGCTAGGCTCAGCTTCTTCCTCTCTGTTTTGAAGAATTTAACATTAGATTTTGATTTTTGAGGGGTATAAAATATATCATATTAAATGAATCTTTAAAAATGTGAAGAAAAAGAAATCTTCAGTGGCTTCTACTAACATATCCTCTGGTTAAAGATAACTTGTACATAAAATCAACAGATAGGTAATTTATGCATGTAAAATGAATGTTTTATTTGCATGTCTTAGTTCCTTTTCTACTACTGTGAATAGACACCGTGATCAAGGCAGGATATAAAAGAAGTCATTTAATTTGGGGCTCATGGTTCCAGAGGGTTGTAGAGTCCACGACCAACATGGCAGGGGCATGGCAGCAGACAGGCAAGTCATGGCACTAGAGTGGCAGCTGAAAACTTACATTTGACCACAAGCACAGGGCAGGGACGTGGGGAAGCATGAACTAATTAGGAAAGGCATAGGCTTCTTAACCTTCAAAGCCCACCCCCAGTGACATACCTCATCCAACAAGGCCACACCTCCACATCCTTCCCACACAGTTCCACAAACAGAGTACCAAGCATTTAAACATATAAGCCATTCTCACTCAAGACACCACTGTATAATAAATCACATTTTAAGGGAATGTATGCGTGCATGTATATATGTGGGTATGTGTGTCTGTATCAGATAGGTTTGTCTATTTTATACATCTGGCATTCTATGGAAACTACCTAACTTCTACTGTCTGGTACCTGTTTTCCTCAATGATGCTTTATGAACATGTTCTTTTCAATGTAAACTTTTTTTTTCTTTTTCTTTTCTTTTTCTTTATGTAGTCCTGGCTGTCCTGGAAATCACTTTGTAGACCACACTGTTCTTGCACTCACAGAGATCTGCCTGCTTGGCCCCCTGAGTTTTAGGATTACCAACATGCACGACCGCCCTCTGGCAATTGATTTTGAGGTAAGGCAAATTTGCATTGTTTTTCATTATTATAAATGGCAAGAAGATAAAATCTGTCTGCATAATTCTTTGTGTAAATATAAGATTGCATCAGAATAAGTTCTTACAAGTACAGTTACTTCACTAAACAGGGTGAACATTTTAAGGCTTTTGCTATTTGTTGCCAAACTTTGCTGGAAAGCTTGCGTCAATGTATCATATCCTCTCCCCCAAAGTTCACGACAATGCTGTTTTGACTACCCTGTCAAATAACAGGTTATTCTTTAAACACACATTAGTTAACTCGATGGGCTGAGTGACACATTGTTACCCTTGCTCCACTGCCACTCAAGTTACATACCAGAAATGAGACTGGCTGTCATGCCATTGAGATTTTTCTGGGGCTGAAAACCAAAATGAAATTAAACTAGAGAACTACATTCTTTAGTACTGCAGATCTGTATACACACACACACACACACACACACACACACATACAAACACACACACATATATATCCTCAACCTAAAATTGTATTTGCCAGAAGGCAGTGTGAGGAGATGGTATCTTTGTGAATGTGATTAAACCATGGGATCTTTGCCCTACTTACTGGCCTTAGTGTCCCTTTGAAATATGCCCAGGCAAACTTACTCACCCTTCTACTATGTGAGGACACAGATAGATGATGTCATCTGTGAACTAGTCAGCAGGTCCTCACAGAGTGAGATTTTATAAAAGAGGCAGCTGCATGCTCAGCTTCCAATGCGCCCAAAGCCAAGGTTCTTGGTGGTCACCTGACAGTCTCTAGAGTCACCTAGGAAACACAGGTTCTGGGTATGCCTGTGAGGGATTTTCTAGCTGAGAGTGAGGTGGGCAGACGCACCCTGACTGTGGGCAGCACTATTCCTTGGATTCCGGTCTTAGACTGAATAAAAAGGATAAAACCAGCATTCATCACTCCCAGCTTCCTGATTGTTGATGCCTCTGGAACTATGGGAAATAACTTTTTGTCGTTTATGAGCCAAGACAGGAAGACTAAAAGCTTCCACTAAAAGCTCAGGCTGCAATGTCTGTTTGTGCTGTTTGTGTGTCTTTGTTCTCTTCACACCCTGTCTTGCTTCACTCATTTTGGAGTCTCCAATTTCATTTGCAGTAAACTGGGAACCACTCAAGCCGTAGTTCATGACAGCTTTGCTTTTCATCCGCTGTTGTGTTTTCTATCACCTAGTCTGTCCTGGCTGGCTACATCAGACCAAACTAGAACACAGCATATTAACCCAAGGCGAGCCAGTCCGTGATTGACCTGGGACACGAATTCTCTGTTGGCTTGAAAAATGGCTTTCCTGACCTAATTTTCAAATCCTGGCTGATAAGTACGCTTACAGAGCAGTAGGCTCAGAGCTTTCAGATGATAAAAAGCGTGTAAAGGCTGATTAAAGAATCGATTCTTTGGCTTCTTCTGGTCATGGCCCTTGACTCAGCACACAGAATATTGATTCAGGAATTGGATAGACCTATACACCCATCGGTTTTGTGAATCAGGTGTGCCTTAACTACTTTTCCTGTTGCTGTGGTAAAATGCTCAGACAGAAGCGACTTTAAGGAAGAAAGCACAGGTTTCACATGGTGGGAAGGACACGGAAGCAGAGCCTTGAAGAGACTGGTCATGTGACATCATCAGTCAGGAAGCAGAGGCGGTGAATGCAGGGACCCCGCTCATTTTCTACTTCTTATTTAGTCTAAGACCCCAACGCACAGAAAGGACCCACCCACGGTTACCATGGTTCCTCCTGCCTCCATTAGTCTAATCTAGAACATCTCTCACAGACAAGGGGAGAGGCTGTCTCCTGTAGGTGATCCTAGAGCCTGTCAGGTTGACAATATTAACCATCACGAACTGCATCTTTGCATTAGGTGTGTCAGGAAGGCAATCAATCAGCTGCCTGTACGGTAAAGGCTCTGGGAGATCCCAGGCCTGTGATTCTCAGACTTAGATGAGTGGTCCAGTTGTCTGGATCACCGCAGATCACAGATGTGGCCTACGGCCCAGTATCACCATTTCAGCTCCCGACAACTGTCATGTCTGCTCAGCCTGGAGAAGAGGCGAGCTGAGATGCTTTCATGCTTGTTTTGATTCCCTTCCTGTCGAAGGACGAGGTTCTTTTTATGAAAAATAAGTGGTGGTGCGAGGGAATTTCTAGAAAGTGTGAGTCTCTCGAGACAGGAGATGCAGTGCAGCAGGACACTTAGGGGACAGGACTGGGACTCGAGGGCCAGCTTTCAAGGTTGATTCAAACTCCTTCAAGGGGGTCTTGCCAGCCTGATTTTGCCACTGCGCATTACTGAAGGGCTGGCTGCAGCAGCTGTGGCAACCACAGGACACTGTGAGTGACTGTCACCTGCAAGGAGGCCTCCCTATTGGCAAAGATAACAAACTGCAGCTTGGAGGTGTTGAGTTCCTGGGATCTCCCTGTTAGCCTTCCGCCAGCCTGAGATCAGGGTACCCACTTCCAGCAGGGTGCTCATCCTTCCCGTCAGGTTCTGCCACCTGTTTTCCCAGAAGGCCCTGGTGCAGTTTGCCGCTTTCCTTCCCGACAAGAACCTGGCCATCTGTGCCAGCTTCCTCAAGAGAAGAGGAATTTGTTGTTTCTCCGGGGAGAGAGTGTGCTTTTGTCATTCTCAGAATCCACGTGGAACAAAATGGGTTGTGATAATGCCTGCATCAGCACTCCGGAAGCGGAGGCAGGAGGATGAGGAGTTGGAAGCCAGCCTGGGCTACATCTCAAAAGGGAAAAAGAAAGAATGCGCAACAACCTTCTACCTCCTGGCTTCTCTCAATCCACTCACCGCCTTTTGGGTCTAGACCTACATGTTTTAAGAGATAAGTATCCGTTTGTGGTTGTTCATTTGTTTCTGGCCAGCAGACAGACAACAGGGGGGTATGGCTTGGCAGCAGCTCCTGAGGTTCAGGGTTAGAGGAGGAATGTTATCTAAGGAAACAAAAGACACCAAACGGAGAGGGACAGTCTTAACGGAAGTCTAATGCAGAAGAGCATCAGGTCCCTGACCCTGAGGAAAACACACAGCAGAACAAAGAGGCCAGGGGACAAGAATAAGTGTAGAACATGGAGCCTGAGCTAAAGGTCAGAGGTTGAGAGGGAAGGGCACCAAGTTGTGTTTCCTATTGTTTTTCCCTAATAAATTTAAAAATTGCTATGGAATTGGGGTGTGGTATTTCAAGCCTCTAATCCCAGCACTCAGGATGCTGAGGCAAGAAGAATTATGAGGAGTGCAAGTCCAGCCTGGGCTATGGTACAGAATGAATTCCAGGTCAGCCTGGGCTACAGAGGGAGACCCAGCCTCAAAAAAGAAAAGAAAAAAAAATCTTATAATAATAAATGCTATGTTTATTTAACGGATATCAAGGAGCAGTAAGTAGTTTATTTATTTTATTTTTGCCTTTTGGTTTTTTGAGATGGTTTCCCTGTGTAGCCTTGGCTGTCCTGGACTCAAAAATTTGTAGACCAGGCTGGCCTCAAACTCATAGAGATCCACCTGCCTCTGCCTCCCGGAGCTCTGGGATAACAGGCGTGCACCACTGAACCTGGCTGAAGTAAGTGATCATTCACATTGGATAACTTAGCATGGAAACTTCTAGGTGATCCTAAGGAGGGAAAACCTGGGGCAAAGCAAACTGATAACCATGGATTTTTGTGCCCCTTGATTTTTATGCACAGAACTAGACAGACTCACAGCCACCATGGAGCCTCCTTTGAATCTCATGGGACTTTTCTTTCTTTCTTTTTTTCTTTTGCATGTTTCCTTTCTATCTGGAAATATCCAGTCTTACAGACAAGTGACAGGAGAAGCTTTTCTCTATGTTAGCTTCCCCAGATGCCCTCACTGCATGTGTTTACCGATTTGTCTCTCTCCCCTGGGCTGCTTGAATGTACCTCGTAGACACAAAGTGAGAGCACACATTCCAGGTATAGCTTACAAAGCAAGGGTTTCACTCTCGTCAAACGAGGGAGAATTACCAAAATCAAGAAACGAGCACAAACTGACTGGTCTGTGTTACTCTACAGCTCTCAAAGTTTAGCCCTAGTCCCTCTGATGTCCTCTGGAGCATTCTGTGGGAGGCAGGGCAGGGCTCCAGACCCCGGATGTGCAGTCATTGGCTGGGAGTGCATGGTGTGAGTGCTGAGTGGGTTGGGACAGCTGACGCTGTCAGCCATGGAGCCAAGATGCCTAACTCGTGCATTTCCAGGATCGTCTCATGCCACCTTCTTGTGACCAAACAAGAACAGGAAAGAGAGTTGCAAGGGGGCTGGAGAGATGTTCATCAAATGCCCCTCTTGGAGATGACCCAGGTTCAATTCCTGGCACCCACAAGGTGGATCACAACTGGCTGTAACTCCAGCACTAAAGAATCCAGCACCCTGGCTGGAAAGATGGCTCAGAGGTTAAGAGCACTGGCTGCTCTTTCAGAGGTCCTAAGTTCAATTCCAAGCAACCACATGGTGGCTCACAACCATCTAAAAAATGAGACCTGGTGCCCTCCTCTGGTGTGAGGTATACATGCAGATAGAACATTACATACATAATAAACAAATAAATCTTAAAAAAAAGAGAATCCAGCACCCTCATCTTGGCTGTCAGGCTCTGAATGCTATGGTAATACGGTTTAACATACATATAGACAGAAACACATTAAAAGAACACTTCAAAAAAGAAAAGTTGCAGAGGTCCACCCAGAGCAAGGTAGACTTCTGGGCCAGCCAGCACCATCTGACCTCCCAGCCTCCTGGAAGGTAAGAAATGCAAACCTCTGTTTATCCAAGCCACTGGAAGCTGGGTTTCCTGTTAACTGTAGCCAGAAACTTTTCTGGCTTAACCTTCTAAATGCAGAAATGCCAGATCTTGGCACCCATGTTTGGGTGTGCCCACACAGACACCAAAACAAAAACAAAAAGAAAGAAATGAGTCTCCCTTTTCCCTTAGCAATTCATTCTATTTTTATCGCTTTAATTTATTTGGCGATTTTTAATAGACATAGCACCTCTCTGTAACAGCTCTCACAGGATCACAGAATTGTAGAACTGCAAGAAATCTGAGAAATGATCTCATCTAAACTCCCTCACACACGTGTCATTTAAAGAACTGTGTTTACACATATCAGAAGTGTATGAAGAGGGAAAGGGTGGCCTATGGAAAAGAATGCAGATATGCTTCAGTTATCTCCCATCAGACAGTCTAAGCAGGCATCCATGCCTGTTTACAATCATGAAAATAAAACTTCCCACAGTATTTTCAACAGTCACTGTCGTCGAACTGTGTGTGCACAGTATGTGAGTGTGTGAGAGAGTGTATGTTAGTGTGAGTGTGTGTTGCTGGGCATCTCTTCTAGAGCTTCGTACGTTAAGGCAAACACTATCATTAAGCTCCACTCTCAGCTTGTCTTTCTTTCAGGCAAAACAAAAAGAGACTTTAGCAAAATTTACACCTTTTTTTTTTTTTTTTTTTTTTTTAGAACTTCCCACTGGAGTGGGAAGAAGCATTTTTTTAATTAATTTTTTTTAATTTTATATTCATTGGTGTTTTATATTCATTGGTCTGTATGTCTATGTGAGGTTGTCAGATTTCCTGGAACTGGAGTTGCAGACAGTTGTGAGCTGCTATGTGGGTTCTGGGACTTGAACCTAGGTCCTCTGGAAGAGCAGCCAGTGTTCTTAACCCAAGAAGCATGTTCTTTAGTATCAGCCTCAGTCTGTTTTATTAAAGACCCCATCCTCTGCTAAGAGTGGGAGCTCATGGTTTGCCCTCTTGTTTGCTCTTTGGTTTTTTTGTTTGTTTCTTTCTTTCTTTGATTTTTTTTTTTCTTTTATCCTTTGACTCATTCTTTCTTTGAACCTTTCCTTCTTTGCAGTGATAAGGATTAAACCTCAGGCCCCTCACGTTCCTGCCTTCTACCCCTGAGCTGTAGCTCAGTTCATATTTGTCCTTTCTTTGCCTTAGTTTCCCCAACTGCAGAGCAGGAGTGCCGGGGCTGGTGAAGGCACACATCTGCAATCTGAGCATTTGGGAAGTGGAGGCAAGAGGGTAGGAGTTCTGGGTCGTCCTTGGCTACATGGTGAAACTGAGCACAGCCTGGAGTATGGGATGCCATCTTTTAAAAAACAAACAAGTAAAGCTAGGTGTGGTGGTGCGCATCTTTAGAACTACCTAGCACTTGGGAGGTAGACGCAGAGGCAGTCTCATTTCCATAGTGGATCCTGGGATAGCTAGGACTATGTAGAGAGACCCTGTTTCAAAACAAACAAACAAACAAACAAACAAACAAACAAAAAGTACAAATAAAATAAGTGTTTATAGGAGTCCCCGCTTCCTAACGGACTTGTGACACCATGGAGATACTTGCCTTATTTCTGCTATTACAGTGTCACTGCTATATGCACAGTGGGTCCTGTGCATGGGCTACACCATATGAAGAAATGTGAACTGTAGCTTAAACTATATTTGTGGGCCTTGGGTACTCAAGGGTTAATGAACTTTGCACTCCACTTTTCCCTGAGTCTGACTGGGGCGCCAGCCTGCATGCCTTTCCATTACGGGCAGGATTCTCAGCCTCAGATCTTTGGAGACCTTTGAACCCAAAATTGCAACAAAGGGAGGGTAATTTACCCAAAGGCTTGATTCATGCTGCCACAGAAACTGCTCCTTCCTCCAGCTTTCTGTGTTTGGAGTTCCTGTTTCTCAGCAGATTCTGCTCTCGGGAGCAGCTCACACTCCCAAACCAGGGCCCACCAAGCTCTGAGAAGCCGCTCTTGTCATGTATGCAGAGCTGGTCCCTACAGCTCATGTGAACAGGAGGAAGTACTGTATACCTTAAAAGGGAAAGCTCTTTTGGGTCTGTGCCTAGCCGAGTTGTTTCATGCCAGAAGGCAACAGAAGTGAATTCCAGCTGTCCAAGAGCCCAGAAAATTCTATCACCTTGGAGCTGTTCTTGAAGGGTTTATTCCAGAGTCAGGAGGGATAGCTCAATGGTGGAGCACATGCTTAGTAAGCACGAGACGGAGGTTCCATCCCTAGTCCTGTGAATGAATGGGTAAACGAATGCTAAACTAAGTAACTCCAAGGAACACTTGGCAAACAGTGGAAAAGTTATTGGGTGGCTAGCCAGGTCAACACTAAAAAAATGAATAAAGACAACCTCCCAATCATGCTAGCTCCCAAAGTTAGTATGAATGGTCAACTTTATACAAACTAGAGCTACCTGGAAGGGAAGAGGAAGCCTTAGTGTAGGAATCGTTCCCATCAGATTGGCCTGTGGCACCTTTTCTGGATGAATGTTTGATGTGAGAGATCCTGGCCTAGTGGTCACAGAGCCATCCCTGGGATGGTGGTCCTGGGTTGTATAAGAAAAGAAACTGAGCAAGACAGCAAGAAGCATTCCTCCGTGGCTTCCTCAGATCCTTCCTGGAGTTCCAGCCCTGCCCTCCATTATGGACTCTAGCCTGTAGACTACATAAACTCTTCCCCAAGTTGTTTTTGGTCAGTGTTTTACCACAGCACCAGAAAAGCAAACGAGGACCAGAGATTTAAACAGGATGTTTCCTGAAATCAAAGTTCCTTGTTTGTGTTTATTAAGTGGAAGCTAGTAATGCTCAATTCTAGATTAAATGCATTTCTCCACTATGTAAAAATATGACACAAATAATGAAAAACATGTTGCTATAATGAACATTCTTCCCTGAGGCCCACTTCCTGGCCCTTAGACGCCAAATGACAGAATGCAAATGCTAACCCAGGAGTCAGTCCATAAATTATCAGCTGTGTAATCTTAGACAAGTGACCTTCCTGCTCTTTGCTCAAATCCTTGACTTATCTTCATTGCTCAGGAGAGGGAGAAAGGGGAGCTACTCTAGCTCTTTCTAGCTTGATCTTGGAGAGAAGGGCGGCACCGGGGAATCCAGGCATCTGAAGCGTACTTTCACAAACCTCAGGATAGGCCAAAGAACCAGGGCAGACTTGGGAGAGCAGCAGGAGCCCAGCCTCCTCACAGATGGGCAGAGCCACTTCAGCTACACAACACAGTGGCTCAACATGTATGTGACGTGATATGTGCAGTTCTTGAAGGAATGCTTAAAAATCTCCATTTTTTTAACCCCAAATTAAGTGACAAGAGTCTCATAGTCATATAAAGCAAGAGAGCAGAGGTTATGTGGAAATTAAGAGCATGAGCAACACTGGCCGAAATTGTCACAGCTGACCTGCCAGAACCCTGGAAATCAACCAGAGCTGTTAAAAAAAAAAAAAAAAAAAAAAAGCTGAATTTCAATACCCACAATGAACTTTGTGACACTTTTATTTGCCCTCTTCTAGCCCTGCCTCTCTAGTTCAGTAACCTGGAGGGCAATCCTGGAGGAATCTAGCAGGCAAGCAGTCAACAGAAGGAGCAAAGTAATATTGGAACCCTTCCTCCTCCCCCTCCCCCCAAGGACACATCTCAGAGAATCATCATGGTGAACTGTGGAGTTCCCTGAAAAACTGTGCTTTAAATCCTTGTCTTTATTTGATTGACTCAGAGCAGCCTGTCCCCAGGAATGTTGTCAAAAACAATTTAGGAATTGTTGGCTGAGGCAGCTGGCTGAGGCAGCAACTACAGCCAGAAGCTGCCCAGAAAACCCAGCAGGAGAAGCTAGTAAGGGAAGGTTGGAGGAGGTCTTACTAGACTCTGTTTCTGGAAGTCTGTGCAGTGAAAGTGAGAGGCCCGTGTACATCGCCAGGCAAGGTTTAAATAAGTAGAAAGGGGTCCTGCATTTGTGGGTTGCAAGACTGAATGTTAAGACAATGTTTTCCAAGCTGTTGACAGGTTCAAGGTAACACTTTCCAAATCCCACCCCTTCATTCTTAAGTCCGTCCAACATGCATGTGGGAGTGTAGCAGACCCTGGAGAGCCAAAGCATTTGAGAGAGAAAAGTA